TAGGAACAAGTGCCACGCTAGTAGTAACACATGACGAATGAACCAAGCATGAGTCATTTCTGCGTCGGAAAGCTAAAGAAAAGCTGAAAGAGTCCTTAACCTAGAAGCAATGGCCTCCAACCTTCTTGCGATGGCCTCCAACCTGCTAGCGACGGCCTCCACGCTAGTAGCGATGAAACCTAAGACGTTACTAGTAGTACGGCCAGGAGCCCCGTTCGTAGCGATGCCCTGATCGTTCCGTTCGTATCGTTTGTTATTAGTACATCTAAAAAAAAGATCCGAGTTCCCAGCCGTGATGAAGAACAGCCTGCTGTCCCCGAGCATCCAGGATCATCCCATCCACCGCCGTGCCGACGGTGCCGTAATTGGTGAGTCGGACTGGCCACGCCGCGGTTTGAGATGCGAAAGGACTGGACCGACCTTCAAGACACATCACATAACCAGTTTCGGCTACGCAGTTTCGAAGTCGAAGAAATATCAAGCAAAGAAGCCAAGTCGACTTGAAAGTCATGAAACATCACGAGGTCTCATGAGGTCAAAGGAGCTTCCAGAAACCAAGACAGGCCGTCATCGCAGGAGCACGGCTCTCCAGTGAGCTGGAGATGTCCCAAGGGTGGCCATTCTTGGGCCTTAAGAAGAGGTGAAACTGGGACGCTACTAGGTTTTTTTTTTTCGCGCGCGCAAATTGGGTTTTGCGTCTTTCCTTGTTTTGCGTGGACCTCAAAAGGCATGTTATTCTCACTTCAGGCATCCAATATCTAAGTTTCAAACGCGCAACATTTGCTTGGTTCCGGGCCCAGATTTGGAAATGCTCACGAGAAACTTGGCTAAAGAAATGATCGTCTGGCAACACTAAACGACAGAAATCATCCTGGAATAAGCGACCAAATCGCATGGTTGGCCTAAGTCACAGCATGCCAACCGCAAACATGAGGCAAGCATGGTTGCACGGCTGGACTGCGCTCGAAAAACGTTTTCCATCTGAGCCTCTGACAGAGCTCCACCTTCCTTTTTGTGCAAAAGCATCTTTTGCTCCTTCAACTTGGTCATTTGAGTGATTGGACTGCTCCTTGTTGCCACGTAGTCAGCTATACTTTTAACAAATGTAATCAAAAAGTTGCGGTTGGCAAGAAACCCGTTGATGTTGATGTTAAACCACAGCGACCCTGCATCTCCTTCGAAAGCATCAACAATTTCCCGCACTGTGACATCACACACCTCATGGAAACGTCTCCACAAAGAGAGAACACAACAGACTTCAATTAGACTGAATGCCATGTCTCCAAAGTGTGGGTTGCACAATGCGACCTCAGATAAGCACTCTAACGTCCATAGCAACGGCTTGTAGATGGAAATGCGAAGCGGTTGGGGAGCTTTGCACGCACCTGCAGGAGTTACATTTCTTGAGTTCTGCGGTGACACAAAAGTTGCAAGAAGACCGCTTGGTTTACAAAACTTACAGCGTCGCTTCACTTGCAACATGTTCTTCAATCCACTTTGTCAGCCTTCGCCTTGGGTGTTTTTTCCACCTGCCAGGTGAGGGTTGTTAGATTTTATCAGAGATGTCCGGTCCTCCTCCTGCTCCTCCGCGTCCTCCTCATCATCAGACATACTTGCAATATATGTGGCCCCTACTTTCTATCGTGCCTCTTCGATCTCTTTTGCAAGGTTTGTCTGAATGTGGTGCTCGGGTTTCTCCAAGGCGCTCCGCGACCACATCGTAGCAGTGACATGCCGCTCTGTCTGCTTGTGCTGTCTGGCGCTGCGCAGCAAATTCCTGTTGCTTTACACACACAATGTTGGGAGCCTTGAGGATCGACACTTGGCGTGGATGCGCCTGTTCGGATCATGTCTACATGACCAAAGCAGCTGCTGTGGAAGGCTGAGTTCTGGGTCGAGTCGCTCGAGACCAACTCACATGGCAGTGCGCCATTGCAGTTGTGTTGCAGCCTGCTCGCGACTCTGTCACATCAACTGGGCACCTCTCAAGCGAATGGAAGGCAAGGACTCAGAAGGTCACTGGACGACCCGAATATCTTCCGAGGCTGAGTGACACCCTAGCTTTTGCACTATGGAGCTCGCCTCATATTCGTTGAAGCTGCCATCGATGCATGTTTGGCTGATCACCACGCAGTCCAGACTAGGAAGCCAATCTGAAAGCTTCACACTTGGCAGCAAATCAAAACACCTTGATTGAATTCGCTGCCACCCCAGCATTCGGCTTCATGTAGCTCACTGGCACAAGCCCTCTGAGAGCATAGCAACTTGGACAACGTGTCTTTGCTGTGCCAAATTTGCTGCCAAAAGACCAACGCTCTTAGGTTGGAGGCTATTGCTACTAGGTTGGAGGCCATTACTATTAGGCTCGATTTGCTGTTAGGTTTGAGGCCATCCCTATTGGGTTGGATGGGGTACGCTCAGCCACGGAAGTCACGGCATAGTAGGAAATAAATTGTGTTCCCCAACGGTAACGCGACGCCAGGAGGGGGGTCCCGGCATAGTCCTTGCAAAAACAAGCTTCCCCCATGGAAACGCAATGATTTGGCAATGTGGTTGATGTGTTCTGAAATTCCTTCCCTAAGACAATTGCCATGTGTTCAAAACAATCACAACAACTTCACCGTTTGATTGTAACTGCCACGGTGTCCCTCACCCCTTTTCGAGGGACATCTTTCCGTTGACACAGTGTTGGGCACTCTGAACGGCATCATCTTTAGACGTTTCTTGAAGGTCTTCAAGGGGGTAGGCCGCAGAAGTGGCTGAAGCTGGTAGTAACAAGAATTCTTCTGGGTGAAACCCTTTACGTGATTGATCTGGTTCCTAGATTATCAAGAACACCTGGTTTTCCGGTTTTCCCCTTTCCTTTTTCCGGAGAAATACTTGGCCTGAAAATCGCTCAGGCTCCAATTGCGAGGGGCGCTGAGGATTTCGCTGCTCGAGGCATTGGTCGAATGTCTGACCTAGTGAGGCTCCACAAACTCCATAGGCCGCAGGGGCAATGCGCTGGGCATAGGCTGCGCTTTGCCACTGGGGACTTGGCACTTGCTGCACGGCGACATGCTGCACATGCTGCTGCTGCACATGCTGCTGC